TTGGGGTGGGGTGGAGTCTAAGAATTTACAATTTTGGCAAACTTCCCTGGTGATGATGCTTTTGGGGGACTCTTCTGAGAACCACCATGTCATATCCATTACAAATTTCTCTTCTTTTACCACTAAAAGCACATAGGATCCCCTGAGGACCTGAGGGGATGCTAGGGTATATTTTTTTGCTTTGTACTTTTTGAGAGGAGGTGATTCTGTAGCCCTGGCAGGTCTTGAACTTGTGATCCTCTTGCCTCAGGCTTCCAAGTGCTGAGATTATAGGCTTGAGCATCCATGCCCAGCCAGTAGTGGGATTCAGTCAGTTCTAAAGTTCTGAGTTGTCAGCCACTGCTGTCGGTATTAGCCAGCCCCAACAAACCACCACAGCCCTCCCCACACTTGACATTTCCAGGAGAAGCGTTACCTCGAAGAGCAGTGACCAACTGTTCTTCCCTTGCCTCCATTCCTGCTCCCAGAATAGGGCTTGGGCACAGCATTAAGATCTGAACCAGCACCAGAGAGAGATTGGTAACTAAATGAAATCATAGTCACCTCTCTTTACAAACCTTCTGGAGCTTTCTGCTTTGGAATGTTCTAGTCACTGATTCGGGATGTTAGGTTCCATTATTTCCATAGCTTTCTCTTTTACAGGCAAATTGTCAGGGCATCTACAGACATAGTTGTCGCCTGTGGTAGAGTGACCAGCTTGTCCTTATCTGCCTGAGACATCCTCAGGGTTTAGGGGTTTTGTTTGTTTGTTTTCTTCCAGTTCTAGAAATTAAACCTAGGGCCTTGCACATGTAGGTAAGTGCCCACCCCTCAGCTATATCCTCAACTCCTTCTAGTAAATTCTCTTTGTTTTCTGAGACAGGAACTTACCATGTTGTCCTGGCTAACCACCAAATTGTGGCAATCCTCCTACGTCAGCCTCCCTAATGTCAGGGTCACAGGTGCTGAACCACCATACCCAGATTCTTTTTTCATTTTTCATTTTGAAGTAGAATCTTACTAAATTCCTCAGGCTGGCCTTGAACTTGAGATCCTCCTGTTTCAGCTCCTGAGTAGCTAGGATTAACAGAGTCAGCTCTGGGCTTAAGCACTAACATACCTTGTCCAGGGAGTCTTCTGTGGTCCCTGGCAGCCTGGGGCAGTTGGTCAATCTCCTGTGCAACTGCAGGGCCTCTTCTTGCTTTGAAGTAGTAAAAAAATCTAACAAGGGCCTAGTTGACTGGGTCTGTCTCTGACACTTGATACCTTGCTGATCTGTAGAAGGCAAAATTAAAAGGTGCCTCATGCCTAGAAGTTGTGGTTTCCAGCCAGGGCCTGGCCTCAGATTGACAGACCATGTGTTAGAAAAACTGACTGGGAGAAGGAGCCGGCAGCTGTGGTTTCTTCTTTGCCTAGTGAGAAGAGAAGCTGCCATGGAAAGGGCTGGGGCAGTAGCGGCCCAGGTGCACAGTAGTGGTCTGGGCTGGGGCAGCAGAGGCTCAGGTGCGCAGTAGTGGTCTGGGCTGGGGCAGCAGAGGCCCAGGTGCACAGTCGTGGTCTGGGCTGGGGCAGCAGAGGCTCAGGTGCACAGTAGTGGTCTTGGCTTCACACAGGACTCTTCCCTGATTGGCTCCCCCCACCATCACTAGTTGTCCTGCCACATTAAGCGTGGCCCTTGATAGAGATCCTAGGTTTATTTTAAGAAGAGAGAGAGGGGCCGGAGAGATGGCTCAGCGGTTAAGAGCACTGACTGCTCTTGCAGAGGACCCGGGTTCAATTCCCAGCACCCACATCGTGGCTAACAACCATCCGTAAGTCCACCTCCATGGGCATTGCACAACACGGATGCACTTACACACATGCAGGCAATACACTCATACATATAAGTTAAAAATAATAAATAAAATATTTTTAAAAAGAGAGAACAAGAGAGAGAGAGATTTCTAGGGCTGGAGAGATGGCTCAAGGGTTAAGAGCACTGATGGCTCTTGTACAGGACCCGGGTTCAGTTCCCAGCTAACAACCATCCATAACTCCAGTTCCAGGGGATCCAATGCCCTCGTCTGACCTCCGTGGGCATTGCACAACACAGGTGCACTTGCATGCATTTGGGCAATACACTTAGACACATAAATAAAAATAATAAATAAAATTTTTAAAAAATTTCCAGGGGTTGGCAAATGGCTCAAGCAGCTGATCTTGAATGCAAAAGCTTGCCATGTGAGCCTGACACCTGTATTCAATGCCTAGAACCCACATAAAAAGCCAGATTCTGTAGCACAATCCCAGCACTTCTCTGCTGAGATGCAGGGCAAAGACAGGAGAATCATCCAGAAACTCTGAGGTCAGCTCTCCTGGAGTGTGCGGAGTGACAGAAACAGTAAGAGAGGCCCTGCCTCTACAGGTTAGAGGGAAGGAGAGAATCAGCAACCACAGAGAGCCCTCCACAGAGAGATGTCCAAGATGACCAAGGATGAGGCCAAGGTCAGGATCAGGACGAGCTTTGATGGACAACAGTTAGCCAAGGACTGTAGTCAATGGGAGGGGTGCCCCCTAATCAGGGTTTATTGTGTTAACTCTTGGTCTTTGCAGATTATTTCAAGTAGAGTGGTGAGTGGTTTGGTTTGGTTTTCTCAAACAGGGTCTAGCTGAATAGTCCAGGCTGGCTTTGAACTTGCTATGTACCTCAGACTGGCCTTGAATTCTTCATTCTAGCTAAAATTAGAGTGTTCTTTTTTTTTTTTTTTTTGGTAACAGTAATTTTTTTCTTTTTCCAAGTATTTGGGTATCTTGTGGCTCTATAAAATTTTTGTTTTGTTTTGTTTTGAGACAGGGCCTTATATAGCTCAGGCTGGCCTTGAACTCACTATGTAGCTTAGACTGGCCTTGAATTCCTGATCCTCATGCCTCCACCTCCCAAGTGCTGGGACTATAAGGCTTAGGCTACCACACCCAGCTATCTTATGGTCCTAATCTCTCTGTATTAACCAGACTATAATAGAGGGTGGTGGTTCAGACCCTCCCACAAGGCACGTACAGGGAGCAGCCTCTGTGCCCACAAGGTCAAATTTTAAGAGGAAGAAACAAAAGAAAAACTTCAGATAACAGATGAGGAAGGTGGCTAGCAGTACCAGACTCCAGCCTGGCCCACCTGTCCTCAGACTGGATCAGGTAATGTCCTCCTTACTCCAAAGCCATGCACAGTAGAACAGTAAAAACTCCATTAGGTAATTTGTGCCCCTCTGGGCTTGGGTTCAGTTTCAGCTACCCTGCAGTGTGGTTAGGACTGGGTGAAGAGGTAGGGCCTTTGAGAGGAGCAGAACAATCTGTGGATTACACCCACACTCCCCACCAGCAACAACACCCACACAGGTATGTGTGAGTGTGTGTGTGTGAGTGTGTGTGTGTGTGTAGCCTGCTCATACCAGCACAATTTCAGTCAAGACACTTTCTCCACACCTCCATTTTCAATTGTCAAATGGGGTCAGTGCTCCCTATTTTCCTCTCAGGTGAGTTGTAAGGGATGGGACAGCCCTGAGCTATTCTGCTGGTGAGCCCTGGGAAGTAAACTCCAAGTGTGTTAAACCCAGAGATGACTAAAGCCTTTTAGGGATGGGGAATTCCCAGCCCTCGAGCCTAATTTGGTGACGTCAAGCCACTGGGACACAGGGGATGGCAGCAGTTGGAATGGAGGCTGTCCCTGTGCCACACTGAGAAGGTGGCTGTAGGGGCGTGTGGGCTCCGCCCATCCTGTCCTGGCAAGTGCCTGCTTGTGGAGAAAGTAAGCTGCTGATCTTGAATTGCTGAGGTATCAAATCCATGCATGCAGGGTCCCTGAACACAGAGTTCTCAAACACATACCTGGGACAGTGCCAGGCACTCAGGAACTCTCTGATGAACAAAGGGCTCATGCACAGGTGTGCCCATGGACACATAGGCTTCACCTATATGCACCGTTGTGTCTGTGCTATGCACAGAGAGGCTGACCTTACTTGGTCCCACCCTCCTCCATTTCTGTGACTGCTCTCTCTTTGTGAAGATCTGGCAGAGCCTTAGTGGTAGAGCTGGGGCTGGGGTGGGCCTGGGATGGGGCAGATGGCCATTGGTGGTCAGGTTGCTGTGTCACCAGGTGGCTTCATCATCAGGGATCTGAACAGTTCCCTTTCAGAGGGAGACACAAGAAGTCAATGAGACAGATACTTTTTTTTTTTTTTTTTTTTTTTTTTTTTTTTTTTTTACAGGGAGATAGGGTCTCCCTGTAGCTCCAGCTGCCTGGAACTAAATAATGTAGACCAAGGTGACCTCGATCTCACAGAGATCAGCCTGCTTCTGCCTCCAGAGTGCTGGAATTAAAGGCATGTGCCACCATGCTCAACTCAAGACAGATACTTTTATTAACCCATTTTGCAGAGGAGAAAAGTGAGACTCCAAGAGTTAAGTCATTTGCCCATCCAGTGGGTAAGACAGAGCTGGAACTGGAAATCAGATTGACTGGCCCTGGATCCCACTTAGTTAGGAGGACCATCTGGTGACGTGGATTGTGGGTGGGAGATGTGGAAAATTCTCTGGTTTCTCTGCCTTTGGGGGTTCATCCTTGAAAAAATGGAAAGCCTAAATGTACCAGCAGGCAGTCTCCCCTTATCTCACCAGGGCACGGAAATTGCCACAATTACAGCCTGTTCACTTGGTTGTCCATAGTAGGTCACTGACTATATAATGTTGACCACCATCACCAAGCATGGTGGCAGATACCTGTAATCAGCACTCAAGAGGTTAACACAGAAGAATCATGAGTTCAAGGCTATCCCGGGCTACATAGTAAGTTCCAGGACAGCCTGATCTACATAGTGGGACTTTGTCTTAAAATAAAACAACAAAGAAACCAAATAAACAACCCCCAAAAATGGCAAAATCTGGCCACTGTTCCACTTGTGCCCTTTGACAGTCTCAAGATGAGGTCTCCACATGCCCCATGGTGAGGCATCAAGCCTCACACCTTTGGTCCCATTTATCTCCTGCAGATGTCATGGCACCCCCAGTACCGAAGCTCCAAGTTCCGCCACGTCTTTGGCAAGCCAGCCAGCAAAGAGAACTGCTACGACTCGGTGCCCATCACCCGCAGTGTCCACGACAACCACTTCTGTGCTGTAAACCCCTACTTCATTGCTGTTGTCACTGAATGTGCCGGCGGGGGGGCCTTCCTCGTAATCCCCCTGCACCAGGTAAGGACCCTGGTGAGCCCCAGGCCAAAACAAGTCTCTGGAGGCCAACAGGACAGAAGGAAAAACAAGAGGAGCCCCGTCTCTGATTCAGATGTGATTGACAGCCTGGCCCTGCCTTTTCCTAATTGTGTAACCTCACACCAGTCAGTTGACTTCTTTGAATCTTGGGAAAAACCATCAGCCAGCCGAGCTTTCAGCAGCTAGCCTGGCTACTTCTAGAAACTTTTTTTCCTTTTTGCAGAGCAATGCTCTAAATTTATTCTCTCCTGAATGAAATAGAATTGTTAGTGCAGTGCTGGGTTCACATGGAACTGGGGACATCTCCAATGCCACCTCCCTTTGCTGGGGGAAAACAAAAAAATCAAACAATGGAAGCGAAGGTTGGTCCAGCATCTACTGTGGAGAAGTTAGCAATAGACAGAAGAGAGAACAGGCTTATCTTTGGGGCCAACAGTGAGAGCACAGGTTGGACCATATACCATTACTGTTATTCAATGTCTGTGACCCTTCAAAGTGACAGCTTTACATAGATCGCTCTAGTGGTAGATTTTTGCAGGATACCAGTGCTAAGCCTGCCGCAGGCAGAACACATGACCAGGCTGGGCACTCCCAGGCTGCTCATAGCAGCCTGTGAAGCCCAACCACAGACTAAGATCAGAGAGCTAGGAAGTCAAGACTGGCGATCATGAATCAGCTGATAGGGCAAGTGGCAGACCTACACTCCCAAAGGACTTGCAGTCCAAACCCTAAACGCAGCTAGAGGTTCTGTTCACAGAACGACTGGCTTAGAAACTAGTAACAGCAGATAAGTTAAATAAGTCCTTATATCTCCCTCATTTGAATTCTTGTTTGTGTTTGTTTGTTTGTGGCAGGGACTCTTAGTAATACTGGTTTCCAACTATGTAGCCAAGACTAGCCTTGACTGCCTCACCACCCTAAGTCCACCTCCTGAGTGCTGGAATTACAGATACGTGCCGTGCTAAACTCAGCTCTCTTGGAAATTTAAAAACAGATTTCTAAATGATTTATAGGCCAAAAGGGAAATAAAAATGGAGCTTTACTTATTTTTTTGTTTATTGTTTAAATGTGCGTGCGTGTGTGTGTGTGTGTGTGTGTGTGTGTGTGCATGTGCATGTGTGTGTCAGAGGACAACTTTCAGGAGTCAGTTCTTGCTTTCCGCCTTGCTGTGAGGCAGGGTCTCTCTTACTGTTCCTGCCACTTTACATTTTACTCCAAACTTGATGCCTCTTGAGCTTCTGGCTGATTTTTCACCCTCCACATACTGTCTCTGGGTAGAGTGCTGGGATTACAGATGTGTGCCAGGCATCCAGATTTTTACCTGGGCTCTAGGGATTGAACTGAGGTATGTTCAGCTTGTACAGGGAGTGATTTACCCACTGATCCATTTCCCTGACCCCAGTTAACTTAGTTGATTTTATTGCTAGAGGTTAAACCTGGGGACTCGTGCATGCTACACAAGTACTTTACCACTGAGCTGCATCTTCAGACCCTGCAAAATGGAAAATTGTATTTTATTTTATTTTTTGTCTTTTTGAGACAGGGTCTCCCTGTAGCCCCAGCTGGCCTGGAACTCACTATGTAGACCAGGCTGACCTTGAACTCACAGAGATCTGCCTGTCTCTGCCTCCTGAGTGCTGGGAATAAAGGCGTGCACCACCACGCCTGGCTTATTTTTTTTTAATCTTTTTGAGACAGGGTCTCCCTGTAGCCCCAGCTGACCTGGAACTCGCTATGTAGACCAAACTGGCCTCAACCTCACAGAGATCTGCCTACCTCTGCCTCCCAAGTGCTGGGATTAAAGGCATGTGCCACCACGCCCAGCAGAAAATTTAAAATATTTGAAACTCAGTGATAATAAGATATATCACAAGATTTAGGGCATGCAGGGGAATAATCCCACAAGGGAAGAGTATAGTATTCAACATAAGAAGTTAGAAAACGATAAAAAACAAGTGGAGTAAGCTCAAAGAAATCTCGAGAAGAAAAAGCAAAAACAGCAATCAAGAAAATACAAAGATGAATTAGAAAATATTTATTATTTTTTGATTTACATGTATGTCAGGGAAGTGGGTCTGTGCAGATGAACATAGGTGCACCTTTAGAGGCCAGAAGAGGGCATCAGATCCTCTGGAGCTGGAGTTATGATCCACCCAAAATGGGTGCTGGGAACTGAACTTGGGTCCTTTGTAAGAGCAGTATAAGCTCTTAACCTCTGAGCCATCCCTCCAGCCCCAGAAAAGAATTTGTAATGCCCCCCGAAACCAACCAAACAAAATACCCTGAAAGACAAATTGAGAGGCCACTGGAAAAACTAACAGCGAGAGATGGTCCAAGGAGCATCAAGAGTAAACAGCCAACACAACACAGCAGAGGAGCTGTGAAGCCCAACAGAACACTTACATGACCAAGAAATCTGAAAACATTGATGAAATAACCAGATTCCTAGAAGTATAGCCCTCTATTACTGATTCAAGTAGAAATTGAAAGGCTGAATAGTTGTATAAATATTTAACCAATCAAGCAATAAAAATTTCCCTTAAAATCACCAGACACAGTGGCACGTGCCTTTAATCCCAGCACTTGGGAGGCAGAGACAGGCGGATCTCTGAGTTCGAGACCAGTCTGGTCTACATAGTGAGTTCCAGGCCAGCTGGGACTACAGGGAGACCCTGTCTCAAAAAGACCAAAAATAAAATAAAATAAAAATAATACACAAAATATTAAAACAAAACAAAAATTTCCCTTCAGTGCCAGGCGTGGTGGTACACACCTTTGATACCTGCACTTGGGAGGTAGAGGCAGGTGGATCTCTGTGAGTTCCAAGCCAGCTGGGGCTACAGGGAGACCTTGTCTCAAAAAGACCAAAAAAAAATTTCCCTTCAAAGAACTAACAGGAAGGAAATGGAAAACCTGGCTTTTTAAAAAATGTATAGCATTTACTTATTTATTATGTGTGCATGTGTGTATGTATGGGCATCCATGTCACATGTAGAGATCCGAAGACAACCTGTGAGAGTTGGTTCTCTCTTTCCACTTTGTGGATCCTGAAGATTGAACTCAGGTCGTCAGGTTTGGAGGCAAGTGCTCTTACCTACTGAGCCATCCCCCAGCCCCCTTTTTTCTTTTAGACAAGGTCTCACTCTGTGGCCCAGGCTGGCTTGGAACTCTTAGCAACCCACCTAGCTTGGTGATAGGATTAGTGCCTTGAGCCACCATACCTGGCTGAGTACATTTGCTTAATAAGAATTGATCTGGGAATTTAGCTCAGTTGGTAGAGTGCTTGCTTAGCATGCACAAAGCCCTAGGTTCCCTGCCCAGTGCCACATAAACTGGGCATAAGAGAACACACCTGTAATCCCAGCACTCAGAAGATATAGTTAGGAGGATCCTAAGTTCAAAGATCTCCTCAGCAACATAGGGAGACTGAAACCAGCTAGGGCTGCATGAGACCTCATCAAGAAAGAACGAACGAAAGAACGAAAGAGAGAAAGAGAAAGAGAGAGAGAGGGGAAGGAAGGAAGGAAGGAAAGAAAGGGAAAGGAAGGAAGGAAGGAAGGAAGGAAGGAACTCTTTATTAAAAGATTTATTTACTTTTACTTATGTGTGTGTATGTGCCTATGTGAGTTTCACTACATGTGTGCAAGGTGCCCATAGTGGGAAGCTTCTGGAGCAGAAGCTACAGGCAGTTATGAGTCACCTAATGTAGGTACTGGGAACTGAACACAGGTCCTCTGGAAGAACAGTAAACACTCCTAACATCTGAGCCATCTGTCCAGCCCTAAGAACTCACTTCTTGAAGCCAGGCATTGTGTATAGCCTCAAACTTGTGGTCCTCCTGCCTTGCCCTCCTGAGGGAGTACTGGGACTACAGGTTGGAACCACCACATCTGTTCTCATCCCAACCTCCTTCAGGAACCTACCCTCAAGTAACCTAAAGACTTCCTATAAAGCCCTACCTCCCAAAGACACCACACCTCCCTAGTGACAGATCTTTATTGCAAAGACAGATCTTTAAGAGACACTCCAGACCCAAAGTATAACACTCGAAATGACGGTAATTTGTGTAACTGTTGAAAACCACATTTTTGAAACTCAATTTTGAAACAGAAAATTTGCAAGTATACTTCAGTGAATTCCTGCTAACCTTTTACCTAGTTTATCAGTCATTAGCCTTTTGCCAAATTGTATTGTGAGTGAGTGTGTGTGTGTGTGTGTGTGTGTGTGTGTGCGTGTGTATTTGGAAACAGTTATAGATTTAACCCTTCACCCCTAAATGCTGCACTTCAGTCATGATATAAGAACTAGAACCCCCACTTACATAACCACCCTGTAACCACTTCCTGGAAACATAACATAACAGAACATTAATGACAGTAACCAGTCCCAACTAATGTGCATCGTCCCAACCTTAATACCATTTCCTTATCTGATAGGGAGTCCAATTCAGGATCATGTGTTGTATTTACTTGTCATATCTTTTAGTCTTTATTTTATGATCTTAAATGTTTTAAAGAGGCCAGTGCTTTCCTAGAGTCTTTCTAAAATTGACTTTATCAGACTGTTGCCTCATGATTAGACTCATTTGTGGTTTTGACAGGAATATTATACACTTGATGCTGTACCCCTCTGGATGCATTACATCATGGGACAATGATGTCAACTTGTCCATTGTGGGCACTATTAGTTTCGATCTCTTAGGTAAATAGTGCCAGAATGACACATCAAAGAGGACTATTGCGAGCACACACACACCCATTAGTTTGTTTGTTTGTTTGTTTGTTTGTTTGAGACCAGGATCTCCCCACTGCCCCAGCTGCCCTGGAACTCACTGTGGAGACTGGCGTCAGTCCTACAGAGACCTGCCTACCTCTGCTTCCAGAGTGCTAGGACTAAAGGTGTGCCCCACCATGCCTGACTAGGAGCATCCTTTTGAAAAGTCATGGCCTGCCTGTATTGACTGCCACGATGCCTCAGTGGGT